AGCAGACCCAAGAGCAACTCTTGAGCATCGCTGGGTGTGACCCAAAAATAACAAAAATAATGTTTTTTTTGTAATCTGAAAATGGATATCTTCGCCTTTTTCCTTCTGAAGGTTGCCTGTAATCTTAAATAATTTAAGGAAGAAAATTTTTAGAGATGAAAGAGGGAATGCAAGGCTTACAAGTCCTTTAAGTACTGGCATTTAGCATGTAGTTCCAAGCCTTAAGAGACAAAAGAAATATCTCAGTAAGATACAGTGAATTTAAAATTTTTGTTTTCTATTGTATACATTTGATATCAAAATTGTTGGATATTGCCCATTATGGAATTTGGTAGGTTCAATCTGTCAACTCACTGTCAAATTTGGAAACAGGATTCTCTATCTTCCTTAATAAAGAATAATGAGAAACTGTTCTTCATCACTGAGACTGTCCTTTACACTATATTAATTTCATATCCTTTAGCATGGCATTCTTGAGTGAGACTTCACCCAACCAGATAGTTAAAGAGAAATTCAATTTACCAAATAACTCAATTTACTTAAAGAATGTCTTTTCACAGCTTACTTTCTGAATCTTAAATTCACTTTTTATTTTTATCAAAAAACAGTACATTGTGTTATATAACTTTCGTGTGTACATCATTAATAACATGTGTACACATTATATTTAGTTAACTACTAAAAGCCAGTTGCCACTCATTGTATAAATGTCTCCTTTTTCTTATTACTGACTGCTCTTTCCGCTTCAATTCCCATTAATTGTTCTTATAATTCAAGAGTTTGTTTTTGCTAAATTTAGCATACACTTTATTTCATTCATATGCCACATATTAGGAAATATTGTGATGTTTGTTTTCGTCTGCTGTATTTCACTAAACATAATACACTCGAGGCCCAACCAAGTTGTTGAAAATAACAAAAATTTTTTTTTTTGCTTTTTTGGGTCACACCCAGCGATGCATAGAGTTACTCCTGGCTCTGCATTCAGGAATTACTCCTGGTGGTGCTCAGAGGACCATATGGGATGCTGGAAATTGAACCCGGGTCGGCCGCGTGTAAGGCGTGTAAGGCAAAGCCCTACTCACTGTGCTACCACTCCAGCCCCCCAGATTTTATCGTTTTAATCACTGAGAGTTCCACTGTGTATATATATAACAATTTTCTTTATCCATTTGTTACCCAAAGACTCTTAGTTGTTACCAGCTCCTAGCTATTACAAATAATGCTGGGGTTGAGGGGACAAAACATGGGGCTGCATATATTTAAGTCTTCAAATTCATATTTCTTTGTTCCAGGAAATGTTCAGAAGCAGGAAAATTAGGTTAATACATGCATAGTCTTTAAAAAGGACAAAAGTAGTCACAAATGTTATATGTTATATTAAGATTTCATTGCTGTCAAGTGTTATGAGTATGTAATTTAATGATATTATTTAGCAAACAATTTTGCTAATGGTATAAATATCAAATAACTAGTGAAGTATATCCAACTTTTCTTCCACAGAGACCTGTCATGTCAGACCAACCTCCCTGGATCAATTCCTCTTCAAACACCATGAGATTATCTTTGTTGTTTGCCACTGTGATTCAGTAACACACATTACCAGAAGAGCAACAGAATGAGGTAAGACACGATTTCCAGGGTAATGTGCATTTATTTAGACAAATGCTTGATTTGTTTAACTCCCAGTGCCATTTATCAAAGCACCAGATCTAGGTATTATGGAATTCATTCTGGAACAATTAACCAAAAATAAGCATTTATATCCCTGTAAATTTTTAGTAAGTGCTTAATTCTGTTTTTTCCCATGTGTCTGTGAAGTATAGTTCCAGCCCCAAACTGTCCACTGAATCCAGACTTCCAAGCAACATCTTGGATTAAACAGTCACTCATTGGTCAAGCTATAGGTAAAATTCTAGGGCTAACATCCAGAAGTACAAATTTTGGAATGGTCTACTAACAAAACATTATCTTGAACTATCGGGAAATCATCTAGAGAGGGAATTGAGAGTTAAAATGAGTAAGGGTTAATGGAATAAATATCTTCTAAAGTTAAGGAAATAAGAAGAAAAATTAGATTAAAAGGCATGGATGAGCCAAAGAGCTAGCACAATGAGTAGGGCCTTCACCTTGCACACTGCTGACCTCTGACACCCCATATAGTTCCCAGGGTCCGTCAGGAGTAATCCCTAAACACAGAGCGAGGAGTAAGCCACGAATGGGTGTGCCTCCTCCAAAAAGGAAGGAAGGAAGGAAGGAAGGAAGGAAGGAAGGAAGGAAGGAAGGAAGGAAGGAAGGAAGGAAGGAAGGAGGGAAGGAGGGAGGGAGGGAGGGAGGGAGGGAGGGAGGGAGGGAGGGAGGGAAGGAGGGAGGGAAAAGAGAAGAAACAACCAGAGGCATATAAATGGAAGATACCCATTACCTGGATATCTTGATGGGAAGGGAAAGGAAGAAAAAAATATAAATGGAAAGGGAAAATGGGAAAGGACAATCGGAGGCCTAGAGCATAAAATGATGGAGAAAAGAACAATTAAACTTGTTGATAGAGGGGACTGGAACAATAATATAGCGGGTTGGGCATCTGCCTTGCATGCAATCAACCCAGGTTCAATCCCTGGCATCTTATGTTCAATCCCCTAAGCACTTCCAGAAGTGATCTCTGAGCGTAGAGCCAGGAGTAACCTCTGAGAACTGCCGGGTGTGACCCCAAAATAAATAAACAAAAAAAGACTTGTTGGTAGAGCTGAAACTTAAAAGGGCATTATAAACAACTTTAATTCACCTGAAAAAAGAATTCTACATAATATATCCTAACTCAAAAATATATTAAAATGTCTGAGAGGTATTGAATTTAGTTAATCATAATGGCTTTCCAAAAAAGTATAGGCGAAGCAACATCTGCAGCTGTCTGTTCATTGCAGCACTGTTACAATAGCTAGAATCTGGAAAAAACCTGAGTGCCCAAGAACAGATGACTGGTTAAAGAAGCTTTGGCACATCTACACAATGGAATACTATGTAGCTGTCAGAAATGATGAAGTCATGAAATTTACATATAAGTGGTACTACATGGAAAGTACCATGCTAAGCGAAATGAGTCAGAAAGAGAGGGATAGACATAGAAAGATTGCATTCATCTGGGGAACATAAAGTAACAAAATAGGAGACTAACACCCAACAATAGTCGAGGTAAGTACCAAGAGGTTCACTCCATGGCTTGGAGGCCAGCCACACATGCTAGGGGAGAAGGCAGCTCAGATAGAGAAAGGAGCACCAAATAAAGGGTGTTGGGAGGTTCCTCTCAGAATGGGAAACGCGTGATGAGAGTAGACTATAGTCCGAACAAGATTGTCACTCAATGTCTCCTTTGCAAACCACAGCACCCAAAAGGAGAGAGATAACAAAAGGGAATGCCCTGCCACAGTGGTAGGGTGGGATGAGGGGAAGGGGGATGGGAGGGATACTGGGACTGGTGGTGGTGAATGGGCACTGGTGGAGGGATGGGTATTTGATCATTGTATAACTGAAACCCAAGCACAAAAATTTGTAAGTCTACAACTGTACCTCATGGTGTTTCACTAATAAAAATTTAAGGAAAAAAATCATAATGGCTTCCTAAAATTTAGAATAAAATTATGTAAATTTAAAATGCTCATTCTTCAAAGATAATGAAGGTACAAGATTTACTAATAGAAGAATAGGGACAGGTTGAAGTTCTCTGAAGGTCCATGCCATAGGTTGGATTTGTGTCCTGCTCATAACTTCCCTGTCCTCATATAGATAGACGGATTATTTCACCTATTTCTGTGTAGCTCTAAATTCTAGTCCCAGAAGAAAAACTGCCTTGTTAGGAAACCATGCAGGAGTTCATACCCAGACACCTTCAACATGAAAGCCTGGTTGTTGATATAGTAGCAGTAAGCTCAGGGAAATTGAGTCTGTGAGAGATAGCATGACTGAAATATAAGCTAAGCATAATTGTTCCCACAAATATAAATGATTCCCACTCATCGAGCCACCAGTCACCAACTAGTCCCAGGTAGTGATCTTCAAGCTGAAAACTCTGTGACTTCCTCCAAATGGGGGTAGACGCGCCCCCCTCCCTTCTGAATAGGCCCAGCAGTTCTTACATCCAACATTCTCCACTTTCTAAAGCCAGGTATGCAGTTCCTGGAGCATGCAACCATATACATGGCTGAATGACACCTCCTCCAAATTTAACAGTACTGATGGCCCAGTAAGAGTCCTACAAATTCAAAACAAAACAAAACAAAACAAAAAGATGACAACACATTTGACGGGGAAATTGTCTAGAAGTCCACGAAGTTCAATGAGCAAAAACAGCAACACAGAAAGGCTCAACCAGCACCAACAAATTCAATAAATCCTCAGTGACTTTAGTAACTGTAGCACTGTCACTGTCCTCCCGTTGTTCATCAATTTGCTCGAGCGGGCCCAGTAACGTCCTCATCGTGAGAACTGTTGTTACTGTGTTTGGCATATCGAATACGTCACGGGGAGCTTGCCAGGCTTTGCTGTGCGGGCGAGATACTCTTGGTAGCTTGCCAGGCTCTCCGAGACGGGAAGAGGAATCGAACACGGCTTGGCCAGCTAGTCCCACACAAGGCAAGTGCCCTACTGCTGTGCTATCACTCCAGCCCTATTTAGAAAAATTAAAAAATAAAAAAAGAATAGTCAAGTTCAGATAAAAGAGCTGAGGGTGCAAGTCAGAAGTCAGCTACCTTTGTTTTTTTAAAATCTGTGGCAAATATCTAGCAAATGTAAGATGGACACAGAAGAGTGAAGGGCCCATCAATGACAGAGAGTGGACAGGGTTAAGTCAATTTCTCAACCAAAGTCGTCTCGCCCCCTCTCACTGGTCTCAGGATATTCCAAGGAGGCACTGGTGAAAATAGCATAAACAGAAGGCCTCAGCATGAGACTAGGACACCAACTAGTAGGACATGGATCACAGAAATTAGACAAGCTCAGAAAGGATCATGACGCGGAAAAGGTTGAGAAACATTATTGTGATATATAACAATTATTACAAATTGACTTTTATTGATCTATTTTCTAATTCCGTTTGCCATTTTGTTGTAACCAGCAATATGAACTAAATTTTTGTTTGGGAAGAAGGCAGACTTGGGGCTGGGTAGGGAACTTGGGACATTGGTAGAGAGAGGGAAGGTCACACTGGTGATCAGTGTTGGAACACTGAATACCTGAAACAACTCTATAATGAATAACTTCATAAACCTTAAAAAAAGAAACAAATAATTCCCAATAAAAGGAAAGAAGGAAATTCAAATCTAAAATTTCAAATCTTTCATCATTTTAAATGATGCATAAAGACAGAATTCTTTTTATTCTAGAAATATACATCTTTAAATATCTTGCAAGTACTTCCTAAATATGATCTTCTATGAGATGATAGCAAGCATTCTCTGGATAGTAGGTAGGGCACTTGTTTTGCATGTAGCCAACCTGGGTTTGATCCCCAGCACCTCATATGGTCTCTCAAATGCCAGTAGGGTGATTTTTTTTTTTTTTTGCTTTTTGGGTCACACCCAGCGATGCTCAGGAGTTACTTCTGGCTTTAGCACTCAGGAATCACTCCTGGCAATGCTCGGGGGACCATATGGGTTGCTGGGAATCGAACCCGGGTCGACCACGTGCAAGGCAAATGCCCTACCTGCTGTGCTATTGCTCCAGCCCCCGCACCAGAGTTATTTTTGAGCACAGAATCACAGAAATAAATCCTGAGCACTACTGGGTGTGCCCCAAAACAAAAGAAAAATAGCCAGCATTCTCTCAATCTGCAACTTTCAAGTCCTTACAACTTTCCACATTCACCATGAGTTGCAGAAATGAACATCAAATTTTTCACTGCTAAACACACCCGATCAATGGAAATCTTTTAGTACTGATACCTGACTCTAGGCCCAAGTGAGCACCTTACATTATCTCACAACTGCTTCTTTAATGCTGTCTCTGTTCTCTTTGCCCAAACAGGACTCAGACTGTGGACCAGTGCAATGGCAGCACAGTGACAGAATTTATCCTGGTGGGCTTCGAGAAGAGCTCTACTTCTACAAGAGCATTAATCTTTGTCCTCTTCCTATTCTTCTACAGCCTTGCCATGGCCATGAATGGCCTCATCATCTTCATTACCTGGACAGATCCTAAGCTCAACAGTCCTATGTACTTCTTTCTTGGCCATCTTTCCTTTTTAGACATCTGCTTCATTAGCACCACCATCCCACAGATGCTAATCCATCTAGTGGTCAGGAATCACGTTGTTTCCTTTATGTCTTGCATGGCCCAGATGTATCTAGTCTTTGGTGTGGGTGTGACTGAGTGCATCCTCTTGGCTTTCATGGCCTATGACCGCTATGTTGCTATCTGCTACCCTCTTAACTATGTCCAAATCATGAACCAGCAGGTCTGTGTGAGACTGGTGAGTTCTTCCTGGTTCTTTGGACTGGTCAATGGCATCTTTCTAGAATACATATCATTCCGGAATCCCTTCTGTAGAGACAACCATATAGAAAACTTCTTTTGTGAAGCTCCCATAGTGATTGCTCTCTCCCGTGGAGACCTACAGTTCAGCATGAAGATGATTTTTCTTGATGCTATTGTGGTGCTTCTCAGTCCCATGGCACTCATTGTCATCTCTTATGCCCGCATCCTGGCTTCCATCCTTGGCAGAGCCTCCTCTTCAGGTGCCCGGGGGAAGACTTTCTCCACTTGTGGCTCCCATTTGACTGTGATCATCCTTTTATACTCCTCAGCCATGTTCTCTTACATGAATCCCCGTAGTACACATGGCCCTGACAAAGACAAACCTTTGTCCCTCCTCTACACTATAATCACCCCCATGTGTAATCCCATCATCTACAGTTTTCGAAACAAGGAAATGAAGGGGGCCATGGTGAGGGCTCTTGGGAGGACTGGCCTAACCCAGGCAGAATCTGTCTAA